TTAGGATGATCACTAATAGATGATTCATGTTTAGAGTCCACCTCTTATTTGTGAACTGCCAATTTATGATATTTGTTTCAATTCACTGTTGGTGAAAGGGCTTCATTATGAATCAACATGACCTTTTTAATATCTGAATCATAATTCCCCAGGGTTGGATATGATGTTAAGTATGAAAAATGGTTTGGGTGCTGATATAAACTTATGTAGGGTGCTCTTAGTCTCATTCTACATTCACAACAATTGGAATATATTACTAGTGACTTTCTGCCAAGCACACCATTAGCATTAGTAGTTTTAAAAGTTAAAGTGTTGAATCCTCGTGGACTCGATGTAATGCTGAGAATTATACTAACTTTGATCCTACTAGGCATAAAAGAAACAATCAAGCATGAAGTGAGACTAAATAGCAATAACTTAAAAAATAGTAAAAATTAAACACTACAATATTTTTGATATTTTTTAAATATGAAAGCTAGTCAGATAGAAATATATGATGGATATTCTTGGGTAGACTTCACACCTCCCTCTCCTGATTCATTAAGCTCATGAATAAAGAGTTTCCTCTTCTTTGACATCAATCCTTATCATGAAAAGTTATTCTCCAATTTCTCAAAGCGAACCTAAGTATACTCCAATCTCTTAGAGCAAATTGAATTACAAATCCTTGTCAAATTAATAAAATCAACACGCATTGTGTTCAAGGATTTGAAGATGATCAATAAGTCATTCTCTTTCCTAGACAAATGATTTATTGATTGTTTTATCTTAGGTCAAGAACTCATAAGGGTTTTCGAACCTCTTACAACTTCACTAATTTATGATTGAGTAAGCCACAATAAACAAAAAGCATTAAGAGTAAACATCAAAGGATAAGAGTAATATAACATTGTACATAGATATAGTCAACACATACAAGAGAGTTTGGTGATTATATCTAACCCCAATAGAAGAGGGTTTAGTTGGAGTTGAATAACATGGAAGCAATGTTTTCATGCTCTTTGCCTATAGAACTCACTAGGCTACCCTGATCTCTTGCTGGGAAGACCTGATCTTCCATATATGGTAATCTTTGGTCTATGTTTTGTCTGAGCAAGGAGAAGATTGATTAAGAGCGAGGTCAATTTTGGGCAAGCAAGGAATCATGTTAGCTTGGCTAGCTTTGCTTCTTCCATGTTCCTTTATTCTCTTAACTTTTTTTTCTTCCCTAAATCCTACCAACAGAATTTCAAAATGTTATCAATAAAAAATATGTTAAAGCTTTTTTTTACTGTAATTATAAAAAGAGAAAACTGTGAGAGTCATCTTCAAGTGTCTAAAAAAATGAAATAAGTGAATATTATGCTTAAGCATAAAGAACTCTATCAATTACAGTTATTGTTGTTACTGTACAAAATAATTGCAGGGGGGGTGTTAAGTAACAAAAAACATTTTGGAACGAAGATTCCTTTGTACTAGCACCTGTTTTTGTCAGATTGGGAGCTCTGGGTCTTGTATTGTATCAATATTTTCTGCATTCCATCTGGTTTAATTGATGTTACCACGGAGGCATGTTTCATTCTGAATGATTGGGATGTTTGTGAAACATACACGCCTAAGGAGTTCTCTATTAGTCTAGTTTTACTCATCTCAAGAGTGGTTTTATACTCGAAATGAATGGCTAAAAACTTGCAATGGTGAGCTTATTGGTTTTATTTCAGATGCCAAGAAGCAGATACAACAATTTGCGTCTCAGACAATTGCCTCTCGGTTCTCATCAACCCTACAGTCAGCATTCAGTGTCGTCTGATTGTGAAAGATGGAAATACAAGTTGAATTGAGATGCGGTGGAAGTTTGTACATGATTATACAGCACGTGCAAAATTTTGTACTTTTTATATTAAATGGCTTGAATGAGACTTTTATGATCTAATAGCGAAACAGTTATTTTTAGGCGTAAATCATGTTTTTTTCTTGTATTCTTTTTCCATTGAAGGATATTCAATATTGACTGCAAAAAAAATCTTTACGGCATATATAATCAGGATATTGACTCATGGAAATGAATGATAATAATTATAAATGACGATGTTTCATAATCACGGGTAACTGGCCACAGTTGTTTCACTGAACAGAATATATGCAGAACTCGCATAAAATTTATGATTTAATTTTAATCATCTTTTCCTGTCTACATATATAAATTCTAACTGTTTCTAACCACTTCAACACAGGACAAGAAAAACAGAGTTTCCAATTATATAAAGCTCTGTATCTCCGATAACTGTAGAATTTATTTGTTGCAACCTTCGATTTTAAAATTTATTTTACGAAATAGTATAAATTCCTTCTTTTTTCCCTTCTGTTTCTTCCTTTTGTTGATACGTTTAACACCTTTTTCATATAATTTTCTCTGCTTCTTTTATGTAAGACACTATTAATTATTTGGCGAAGTTCATTTCATAATTCAACTCCAGCCTTTGCAATTTCCGTCAATCACAAAATTATATATTTTTTTATTTAGTGTTTAAAAGTGTGTTAATATCATTTTGATAATCATTAATATATTAAATGTATTGTAACATCCAAAAAATACAATGTAAAACCATATACGAGTGTAATCACATATTAACAATACTACAGATCAGTTCAACATTAAGCCAGATATAATTATGGCCTTACTTAACAACAAGGAATTAAAAACCACTAGACCGAACGGTGTACAAAATAACTTATATTGAACGGTCTTACAAAAAGGTAAGCTAGCAATAGACCGAACGTCACTAAGGTTCGGCCTTCACTTCCGTCGCGTCTTCCAATACTTCTTCCAGCAGCTCTTCTCCTTCTGCTCACATCCACACGGATGATCATTGCAACAGGACAACGACAGGAAGCACAACACAGATAAAAATGATAAACAGGGTAAGCTTATGTAATTTAATTTATTCAATAACAACATACAACATTCATAATTAAACCAACAACACCCAATTTATTATTCATACATCAAGGCATACAAATAACGACCACTTGACTATGACTGTCCGGACTGTATGAATCCTGTGTAGCTACGACGTTCGTGCACCCGGGTGATGTAGTAACTGGGATACCTTCAACAGCTTCCACCCGAGGTTGATCCGTTCCGTCCAAGTTAACCTTATGGACTAGGACCTCCGGTCATTCCTACACATGACTTACTCCTCTCTAAATGAGAACTAGTAATCATGGAATATCAGGATGAACGCCTGCTAAGCTTTGCCCACGTTCATACTTTACCAATCAGTAACCACTTCCTGAGATATTCCTCCCTGGAATACTCGTTCATAATCACATTATTTCATTCACATCACATTTCAAACTCCATTAAAATCAATCATTAATACATTCGACTGAAATACGATCACATTCTCTCATCATCTCATAAATTCGACTCGAATAATACTTCTTAGAAACTAACATGACTGAGCGTTACTTATTAACTTAAATAAACAGACCACTAAGAGTTCAAAACGGACGTCACGAAGCCTAGGCCGAGTACTAAGACTCTAGGCCAAACACCTTTTAAAGACCAACATTGTTTGACATACAATACTAATACTGATGAGAAACTATGAGTAACGAACGCTATCGAGTTTGAATAAAAACTCTTATTCTAAAAACGGTAATAATATATTATAGAAAACAAGACTCAACGCTTGGTTTAAGACCGAGCCCTACAGAAACCGAACACTATTGAACGAGCATTGGTCCAAGACCAAGTGCTTATCAGGAACGAACGCTACTGAGACTGAACGTTTGGTCCAAGATCGATCACTAATAAACTTACATAAAACGAATGAATCTATATATATACAATTGAGCCACCACTTATTCTGAATGAAAAAGAATGATAACGTCCACGACTTTAAGTAGTATATAATACATTAACTAAACTGCTTAGGAAACCTAAAGAAGAACTACACTTAGGCCGAACACTCATTCATACATTTCTAATATTATAACACGATCGTTATTACCGAAATTCCTAGTATAAGAAGAACATAATATAAACGGACGCTCGACCAGATTACCACCTTTACTCAGAATACTACAGTTGACGATCAATCCCTATCTCAACTCAATTCACCACATGCATCATTCATCCATCCACACGTCCAAACAAGCACTACACACCTACTCATACTCATCAAATAATCAAACAACAAATCATGCAAACATACCAACGTTCAAACAAGAATTTAATCAAGTTATATAAGATTCCCTTACCTCTATACGTAACCGAACGCTCAACGATGCAGAATAGAACTCCCCACTACCAAAGTCTTAACGTTCGACAGTCACGTTTTAGGAGTACGACTCAAAATCATAAACCGATCGGTTTAAACGAAAGCTCTTGTCGCCGGGAGTGTTCCAACGGTGCCTGAGAGGTGATCGGAAGAAGAAAATGAGAGATTTTCTTAGAGAGAAGGAGGAGATTTTAGAGAAAAGGAGGAGAAAAATGGTTTCAGCAGTTAGGAGAAGAAGAAAGACATGCAGAGAAGTGGCACGACATTTGAAATTTGGCATTAAATACTGCCATCACCCAAACCGAACGGCGACTCTCCTGCAACCACCTGTTGTTTTCCACTAACTGAAACCCTCAGTCACTTCCTGCCACATGGATCCCACTGCTTGGAGTTTTGAGTGTGTTTTAATGGGTCTGACATATATCAATTTATAACAAATTATTTCTTTAATCAAATTATAAAACTACCATGAAATAATTCTTAATATATCTAAAACATAATTGATATAAAAAAAATCTAATCATTCATAATTCATAACATTAGTAAACATAAAAGTAAATTATATAGTTAAATACTTTAACTTTTGAGATTAAATCAACATGTGACTGCGTGAAATAAATTACAGCAATGTTGTGACAGAGTTTTGTAATAATTATTTAAAAATCAGATATAAAATTATTTGTATTTAATCTTCACTTAAGATTAAATTAAGATAATAGTTTATTGGATATCCATGTCAGCAGGAAAGTTTGCCAGCTTCTTTGTGGTTGGAACTTGGAATCATTGCAAAGCTGACGAATTGTTTATAGTTTCGCAGCAAAAGCAAACTTTTTCTCATCTTCTTCACTACCAATTCTGCTTCCGATTTTGGGTATACTCCAGAGAACGACAGTGATGCTGCAGTGCATATTTCTCCTCTCAGATGCCGGGTAAGATAAATCAAACTTCATAATCTTCATTTTATTTTAAATCTGCTCTACTTGCTCCAAATTCAGTTAAATTTTATTGCAATTTGAATTTGATTCCATGTGAAGAGAGGTAGTACTAGAGAAACAGCTTTCGGGGCACTGCGTCGATCGCTCCATATGTGCCTGGTTCTGGGAACAAGCCGTTTCATTTGGCGACTCCTTCAAGGTTTTTTTTTTTCTTCTTTCAGATTTTTGAACTTCATTGACCTTATTTATTTGCGCTCTTCATTCAACTATTTTACTTTTAGCAACAACCAGTGATCACCTCTCATTCGCATTACATTTTCCAAGTTTTTCGCGATGGAATCACTTTTTTGGGGTGCACGCAAATTGAAATGCCACCCTTGATGGCCATTGAGGTATGTTTTTTGCTACTCAGAATATGAAGCCGAATGAATGCTACTCTGTTTATTTAATGATTTTTCCCTTAACTATGTCAGTTTTAGTTCCTTTGTAGGGCCGCTGATGTTCTCAATGATTATTTTGGGGCCTTAAACGAAGACATAATTAAAGACAACTTTGTCATTGTGTACGAGGTACTTGTCTTGAGTACTAATGTCTACTGACAACTTTATCAACTGGTCTCTGTTGATTAGATGCAAACTGACCAGTTTANCCACCTTTACTCAGAATACTACAGTTGACGATCAATCCCTATCTCAACTCAATTCACCACATGCATCATTCATCCATCCACACGTCCAAACAAGCACTACACACCTACTCATACTCATCAAATAATCAAACAACAAATCATGCAAACATACCAACGTTCAAACAAGAATTTAATCAAGTTATATAAGATTCCCTTACCTCTATACGTAACCGAACGCTCAACGATGCAGAATAGAACTCCCCACTACCAAAGTCTTAACGTTCGACAGTCACGTTTTAGGAGTACGACTCAAAATCATAAACCGATCGGTTTAAACGAAAGCTCTTGTCGCCGGGAGTGTTCCAACGGTGCCTGAGAGGTGATCGGAAGAAGAAAATGAGAGATTTTCTTAGAGAGAAGGAGGAGATTTTAGAGAAAAGGAGGAGAAAAATGGTTTCAGCAGTTAGGAGAAGAAGAAAGACATGCAGAGAAGTGGCACGACATTTGAAATTTGGCATTAAATACTGCCATCACCCAAACCGAACGGCGACTCTCCTGCAACCACCTGTTGTTTTCCACTAACTGAAACCCTCAGTCACTTCCTGCCACATGGATCCCACTGCTTGGAGTTTTGAGTGTGTTTTAATGGGTCTGACATATATCAATTTATAACAAATTATTTCTTTAATCAAATTATAAAACTACCATGAAATAATTCTTAATATATCTAAAACATAATTGATATAAAAAAAATCTAATCATTCATAATTCATAACATTAGTAAACATAAAAGTAAATTATATAGTTAAATACTTTAACTTTTGAGATTAAATCAACATGTGACTGCGTGAAATAAATTACAGCAATGTTGTGACAGAGTTTTGTAATAATTATTTAAAAATCAGATATAAAATTATTTGTATTTAATCTTCACTTAAGATTAAATTAAGATAATAGTTTATTGGATATCCATGTCAGCAGGAAAGTTTGCCAGCTTCTTTGTGGTTGGAACTTGGAATCATTGCAAAGCTGACGAATTGTTTATAGTTTCGCAGCAAAAGCAAACTTTTTCTCATCTTCTTCACTACCAATTCTGCTTCCGATTTTGGGTATACTCCAGAGAACGACAGTGATGCTGCAGTGCATATTTCTCCTCTCAGATGCCGGGTAAGATAAATCAAACTTCATAATCTTCATTTTATTTTAAATCTGCTCTACTTGCTCCAAATTCAGTTAAATTTTATTGCAATTTGAATTTGATTCCATGTGAAGAGAGGTAGTACTAGAGAAACAGCTTTCGGGGCACTGCGTCGATCGCTCCATATGTGCCTGGTTCTGGGAACAAGCCGTTTCATTTGGCGACTCCTTCAAGGTTTTTTTTTTTCTTCTTTCAGATTTTTGAACTTCATTGACCTTATTTATTTGCGCTCTTCATTCAACTATTTTACTTTTAGCAACAACCAGTGATCACCTCTCATTCGCATTACATTTTCCAAGTTTTTCGCGATGGAATCACTTTTTTGGGGTGCACGCAAATTGAAATGCCACCCTTGATGGCCATTGAGGTATGTTTTTTGCTACTCAGAATATGAAGCCGAATGAATGCTACTCTGTTTATTTAATGATTTTTCCCTTAACTATGTCAGTTTTAGTTCCTTTGTAGGGCCGCTGATGTTCTCAATGATTATTTTGGGGCCTTAAACGAAGACATAATTAAAGACAACTTTGTCATTGTGTACGAGGTACTTGTCTTGAGTACTAATGTCTACTGACAACTTTATCAACTGGTCTCTGTTGATTAGATGCAAACTGACCAGTTTACTTTGCGTTATTCTTTTAGTTGTTGGATGAGATGATAGACAATGGATTCCCCTTAACTACAGAACCTAGTATCCTGCGAGAGATTATTAATCCCCCAAATGTGGTTAACAAAGCTTTGAGTATTGTGACTGGTAGCAATTCAAATGTGAGTGATACCCTTTCGAGGGCTACTGCATCTTGTATTCCCTGGAGAACAGCAGAGCCAAAGTACTCCAACAATGAAGTATATGTTGACCTTGTTGAAGAAATGGATGCGATTATTAACAGGTCTATTATACACATTCTTCTTTATCACTTCTTAATATTACACTTTGATATTGATAATATTAACGGTGTTTTTACTTTTTGGATATTGCGGTCGAATGCCACAATGTTTTTGTAATGGGACATCTACCTTACAATATTTGTGAATGGGATATTACTAACTATTCGAAGTCAGAACTTGGAGGAACCTTTTTTGTAAAAAATATTGCAGATCATGTTCAGACCGCTCTTTTGTAGTTTTTATCTTTTGGAGAATTTCATTATTTCTTAGCAGTCACAGCTAAAGTGCTTTATTCATTCAGGGATGGAGGTTTGTTGAAATGTGAGATCTATGGTGAAGTTCAAGTAAATTCCCGTATCTCAGGTTTTCCTGATTTGACCCTTTCTTTTACAAATCCTTCCGTCCTAGATGATGTCAGGTTCCATCCGTGTGTTCGTTTTCGGCCTTGGGAGTCTCATCAAATTCTTTCGTTTGTGCCTCCTGATGGACAATTTAAGCTTATGAGTTACAGGTGCAAAATCCCCTCGTGTGTTGCCTGGATCAAAATTTGAAACTAGCATGTGTGAGCTTTGTTTCTCTTGGCGGTGTTTATCAAGAACCAAAATCTTTTTGGAAAAAAGTTGTAATGGATACAGTTGTGATTCTGAATGTTAAATTATCCCAATTTGTGTTCTTTCAATAATTCAAGCACTTCACTTTTCAGGGTAAGAAAGTTGAAGAGCACCCCAATATATGTAAAGCCGCAGTTAATATCTGATGGTGGGACATGCCGTCTTAGTGTATTGGTTGGAATAAGAAATGATCCTGGAAAGACAATCGACTCGGTTACTGTTCAGTTTCAGCTCCCTCCTTTCATCTTGTCAGCTGATCTGACTTCAAATCATGGAACAGTGAACATCCTTGCTAAAAAGGTACTTAAAATTTCGCTAGCATCATGTTTCTAATGAATAGTGAGTAGTGAGCATCAGTGTTTCATATTGACAATTAATTATCCACTGTGAAACTTGAGAATAATTAAAATCATTAAAGACAAGCTTCTGGGTCCATTTTTGTAACATCATTATAGATAGTATATACATAATATAAAAGGTTTTCATACTGTTATCCAATTACAAATCCATTGCTAAGTGATTGCAATGATTTTTACAATAACTAGTTTAAAAACGATGATTTCAGACTGACTGACACTGTAAACTTTTATCCTATCATTACTCTTGCTTTATTCTTTCTTTATATCATACCAGACATGCATATGGTCCATTGGTCGGATTCCAAAAGATAAAGCCCCTTCCATGTCTGGATTATTGGTGATTGAAACTGGCTTGGAGCGCCTTCATGTCTGCCCCTCATTTCAAGTGGGTTTTAGGATTATGGGTGTCGCCCTCTCTGGTCTGCAAATAGATAAACTGGATCTGAAGAATGCACCATACCAATTTTACAAAGGTTTTAGAGCTCTTACTCGGGCAGGTCAATTTGATGTAAGATCATAATTTATGATCTACCATAAGTCATTTGTATAGTGTGGATATGAAATTATTGTCTGTATAACATTAGGTGGTTTTTTTTGTAATTTGTTGGAATTTTGTAACTCACGTTTGGTTGAAAGAGTCAAATAAGTTAAATAAAAATATATCCCTATCCTATTTTAGGAAGATTTTATGCATTATTTAATTAATTAGGTTTAGTAAATATTTTTCAAAGTTGGTTACAAATCTTGTAATTTAAATATTTACTGTTTATGTTCAATAAAAGATATCAGTTCCCCTTTCATTTTTTTGCCTCTTATATTTTAAAACCCAACAATTGATATCAGAGTAAAAAGGATCTCACAGGATCTGTGATATAACCCACAAACACCTACAACCACAAAATAGCCACCACACATAAGATGGAATCTCAAACATCCTGCACCTGAATTTGATGGACAAAACTATCAAATGTGGGTTGTCAAAATGGAAGCATATACAGATGCTAACCATGGAAAGCATATCAAATGTGGGCTGTCAAAATGGAAATTGTAATAATTACTAATTATATACAAATTAACATTTCTATTATTACATTTAAATAAAAATGGTAATAATTACTAATTATATACAAATTAACATTTCTATTATTACATTTAAATGGAAATTGTAATAATTACTAATTATATACAAATTAACATTTCTATTATTACATTTAAATAAAAATGGTAATAATTACTAATTATATACAAATTAACATTTTTATTATTACATTTAAATGGAAATTGTAATAATTACTAATTATATACAAATTAACAAACATAGCACACAGAACAAAAAAAACTCTTTGTTTTAACACTAAAACCTTCTGGTAATCAATTACCATACCAGAGCTTATGTCTATTACAGGTGAAGTCGTGCCTCCTCTACATGAGTTCAAACTTCTGTAATCGATTACAAGGCCGGATAATCGATTACCAGACCTAAAATCGTTTCAGGGGTACACGACTTCACTTCTGACTCGTGTCAGGGTGGAGCACGACTTCTTCATTTGAAGTCGTCTGGACCCCACAACTTGCCTAAATGTGTAATTTTTAAAATTTTTGCCTATATCTATAAAATGTTTTTCAAATTTGCCTATTTACGTAAAAAAATCCAACTTTTAAATATAAGCTCCATTCTATTTATTCTTGTGATGTATACTATATCTGCCAGTTCTTACTATATGCATTAGATGGTACTTCACTTTTTACTTACACAACCTTTCGAATTGAAAGAAATTCACAGGCAATCAAAAGAAAAATGTGGTTTACTTCCTTGAAGCTCCTGTTTCGGATAGCAAGAAGCCTGCAGAAGATGGCCAACTAGTCATACTTGTCGCTGGGGACAAGGTATTAATTGTTGATAAATGTTCTTTGCATGCTTCTCTGTTGTGCCTTTAACTATGCGAGGGCATTGAAATATTCATATGCCTCTTCTCTCCACCATATGACATGTTTGCCTGACTGGATGTTTTCAGAGTATAGGATGCATAAGATATATCAGCAACCAGTTAATGCCCTCAAAACCTTTTAATGAATGTCATTGATGATCAGTGTTCTCCTGGAGTATTCTGTTGATTTCCCAAAACAATAAAATGATGTATATTTGAGTAATTTAAGCAATATTTAGTGTTGTAAAATGCAATCTGATGACAACAATGTGAAGATAATATCTATAAATTATGGAAACATCTATTGATTATTGTTATCCAAACAGCAGTCAACTTTCCACAGAGAACTTGAAAATATCATGACAGAGTCCTACCAGTCAATTTTAAAATGTATAGGCAAAGACGATTGTTGTGAACCAACTATTCCATAAATTTAAGTTGCAAAGGAAGTTATCAGGAAGCAATTTTAAAAGGTATTATTGTAAAGGATTTGCTACCGTACCATGAATTAGGATTGATTGGTCATGCTTGTTGTATTCGCGTTGATGTCCATAATTCTAGCATAGTTCAAAGCTGTATAAATAGTATTTCTTGTTATACTGTGCTCTCATTCAGATTCTTTGTTGTGAACTGCTCCATACTGAGTAAAACACGAGAATTGTTGATTCTTTTGACTTGCAGGCATTGTATGATGAAGCACTTCCAGCATTTGACATACTGGGGAAGAAGTCTTTCTTTTTGGGTGACATTGTAGAATCTAATTGAAATGAATGAACCATTTAAAATTTTGACATCGTTGCAACAATATGCCTTAATATGTGAAAACGAGTTTAGTTCAACTCATTTATGATTAGATAAACAACACGAAAGCATTAACCATAGAAAATATAATTTTCCCTTAATTGCACCGGTGGTACCCATCATTTATATTTCATACAGTGATGTCAAAATGGGTTGTAACCCGCGAGCCAACCCGACTCACCACGGGTTTGAGCCGGATTGAGTCTGAAAGAAATGTAATTTTTTTTTTATGCAGATTAGTTTTCAACCCGACTCACTTAGAACCCGGCTCATCGGGCTGAACCCGTGGTGAGTCGGATTGAACCCGTGGTGAGCCGGGTTGGCTCACCAACCCACCTAATTTAATTTAATAATTTATTATTTTGTGTTTCAATATTATTAGTTAGCATTTTTTTTTATTATATTGTAGATAGTGATAAAGAAGATGTTTTAAGAGAGAAAAATATTATAGATTTATTTATTCAAAACTCTAATATTATAAATGGACAAGTGATACAAAAAATTTTAATATTAAAAACTTATTTGTTCTTGTGTACATGTTTTTGGATTACGCTTGGATTGTATAATATTTCTTTATTTATTTTGAATTATCTGAGTTTAATATCATTTTAGAGTTACGTATATTTATATTTGAATTTAAAAAAATTGTAACTTTTTTATTTTAAAAAAAATTATAATTAAATGAACTAGTGAACCAACTCGTTTAAACCACCAACCCGTACCCGTAGTGAGTCGAGTCGGATTCGAATTTTTTCAGCTCGATAATAAATAAGCCGGATTGGGTTGACTCACTAAATGATCAATCCGTGGTGGGTCGAGCCGAGTCTAACCGGGTTACTGACACCTCTTTTCATATCGGTATAAAGTAACATCATGTATATATACTTGACATATATGAACTTAAAAAACACTTGACAAACCATACAACTTCAAATTATTTTAGAGAGAAGTAAGAAAATTTAACGTAAATACGACCAACATGCAAATTGTGTTTCTTTGTAAAACAAGATGGAACACTTTTTTTGTCTTAACTAGTGTGATTTTAAGTTTAATAACTTTTTCATAGAAACTTCATAACTTACTAGAGTTTAATTTATAAGTGTTCTCAAATTATATTAAACTTTAACGTTAAAATTAAAAATAATTTGATAAAATATATTAAAAATAATTTTTAGATTGAATAACCTAATATTAAAAATAATATTTATAATTTATAAAATAATCTATAAACCATAGATAAAACATAATGATTTTAAGTGAAAATACAATTTTAAAAATAAACTACTGAATTAAAAAGTAGAAATAACATAAAATTTTACCTTATTCATATTTAATATATTACATAGGTTTCTTTATATTCTAGTTAATGAAGTATATTATAAATATTAATTCTTAATCTTCAAATTTATATATCATTATATCTTTAGAGATAAAGTATCTGTTTATAATGTTCCAATATAACTAAAAGATAGAAACAAAAATCAAATTTTAAACCGTAAGTAAAATATAACTATTTTTAATGAAAATCCAATTTTAGAATACATTGTTTTTTTAAATACGTTATCCAGTGCAATAATACTTAATAATAAAATTATCTTATTTGTATTAAATAATGAATAAATATATCAAATTAAATTAAGCATTCAAAGAATAAAATTAACTTAATTTAAATTTTGTTTACTTCAATTACTTTAATAATTAATAATTCTCTGTTTTACAAGAATAAGACGACAAAGAACATTTAAAAAAATCTCAGATTTAAAATTTGAACATTATTTTCAAAAACCAAATATATTCCTAAAATTTGAAATTATTTGAGTAAATACTTATTAATTATAAATATATATTTTATTTTAAACTTTGATAGTTATACTTAAGGCAGAAATGCTTTAAGATCAATTATTATATTATTTTCATAGATCCGACCGCGCTATGAATATATTACTTTTTGTTATCAACAAGTTGAAATTAAAATTAAAATAAAATAAACATAAAATTAAAGAAGAACAAATTAAAATTAAAATAAAATAAAATTATTATATTATTTTCATAGATCGGACCGCGCTATGAATATATTACTTTTTGTTATCAACAAGTTCAAATTAAAATAAAAATAAAATAAACATAAAATTAAAGAAGAACAAATATAGCTATCAACCGAATTCGAATTTAAATAAAATAAACATACAAAAAAAATAAGTTGATTTCAAGTTGAAAAATTGACTACAATTAAAAGATAAGAGCGTAATCTTTACAACGAAATTTCATCAGATATTAAAACTACATCTCCTTAGTAATTAAGGGAATAACTAAATAATTAACAAAATAACAGTGATTAACAAAATAATTAAACATCTCAAAATTTAGTAATTTTTTTCTTAAAATTTGCCTTAGTAATTTTGCTGTTCGTTGTAACATAAATTTTGAGGCCGACAAGGAAATGTAAACGGCTGATTATACTACTAAGGAAAATACCATCGATAATCCATTAAAATTAAATGTTAAGACAAAAATAAATATAACTCCACTCCAAAAGTATCCCAAAATTGTGATCCAGATGCAAGTTAAACACCTCCTATTAATGCAGCAATTAGACTGCACCCATGATAAAGTTTCACTCATCATCATCTTCATCAACATCAGCAGCAGAGTTCAGAGCCTGCAAACGTGCAACCAACTTGGCCTTTCTCTCTTCATAAGTGAGCTTCTTCAGGTTGTACCTACGCAAAGATGGAAATACTTTCAGAAACATTCTCCAAACCAGACATTACAAATGTCAAACAATATAATGAGCACAAACTAGATTAAAAACATGTGCAAATCCAAAAAATTGATAGACTATACATAGTTCATTATTTGTGGAACGTATAAGCATTCTCAAAAATTATCAGAGCGATTTAATTTACCTCTTGTGCTCCTTTGGTGGCTCTTTCTCAGATTTCTTGACAGTAGGATCTGCACGGATGGCAGCATGGACATTCTTGTAGAGCTCCTCCATACCATCAGGCTCTATTCCACGCTTAATATACTCACTGAAGTGTGTCTGGTATTTTTCTGGCTCATCTTCGATCAGGCTCTGCAAAAAAAATAAAATGGTTTGCCTAGCTTATCCTTTGAAAAGTCACAATAAAGCTCCAAAACATTCTACCAGCACGATGCTAAATAAAATCTGTCCATACCTTCATATAAGAAGCAACATGTCCACCAAAGACATATTTGCGATGAACATCAGCATCAAGCTCCTTTTTATCCTTATCAAATCCAGCAAACCTTTTGTCACTGTGAGGAATATCCAAACCACCATCCAGAGCTCCCTGTAAACGATTACAAATACTCCATTAATAACTAATAAATCAGAAACAAACCAAGTAGCATTGCATATAGATCACCTTAAGGGCACCAAAGACACGATTTCCCGTTGTAGTCCTGATAAGACCAACATCAAGGAGAGCACGGAATGGTCTCCTGGTATCAGCGGGTTCAACAGAATAATCCTCTCCACTGGCCTAAAAAGTGAAAAAAGTTAACTAAATAAGATGTAAAAACAAATACAAACACAGATCATAGAAAACTCCTATACCTCAACATTTCCTTCATAATCCTCGTCCATTTCAAGCTTTTTAAGTACTCGACGGGCCAATAAGAGCCCAGTGCAATAAGCTGTTCACAGACCCAAAAGAGTGAGATATAAGCACAAAACAATAAGTGGGTTGGGGAGATAAACTATAGCAGAAAATACCTGCAGCATAATTTGTAAGGCCTACTTCAAGACCATAGCGTGGCAGCTCATGTGAATATGCTGCAGCGAGGACAATATCGCCAGCAATGCTAGCAGATGTTATTTGAGCGATGATGTCTTTGTTGGTCTAATAAGAAGGTCAAGGTTTGTACACAGACACATAACAGGACATATACCGGTAAAATAACTTCACTTATTCACATAATCTAAGTATGTCTCAACATAAAAATCGGACGATCAATGAATTCTAAACAAGTAAAACCAACTAGTCATAACATAAAAAAAAATTATAAGCAGGATACAAATCGAACCACAAAGCGATATTTTGGAGTGTTGTACTTGTTCTTATCCTGGTTAATCAATCGAATCCTGGCTCGGTAATCGGTTTTACCCTCTGCGATAATTAAAATTACAATTATAAAAAAAACGTATGGAAGAAACAATTTAAACATTAAACACAAAGAAACAAAACAAACAACACACCTCTTCTTCTTTTAAACTTCACTTGATATCTCTTGAAGTAGGCCCTTGATTTCTGAGCCTTAACAAACGCCTTTCACATACACACAAGTTTCGATACAAATTATGTCAGAGACCCGTTATATATTATCAAAAGCTTTGTTTAAAACAGACCCGTTATATAATTATCAAAAGCATAAAAACTCCGAAAAAAAAAATAAGAAAACAATGGAACAAGATGCAAAACCCCATCGTAATTGAAAACTTCAAAGAGACGACGTAAACACATTAATTGGATTGGACACTTTTGTAAGCAAGATGCGGTTAGCGGAACTCAGTTCTACGACCTACCCTTTTGAAGTCTTTTTTCTGGGACTATAAACCTTTGGAATTGATGCCAAGACTAGATTCGAAACTAGGGATAGTTCTTGTTCAGGAAAATATTACTATAACTACCCAAAACCCTTACTATAACAAACAATAAAAGTATAAGACAAACTAAAACATGTATAACTGAAGTTCAAATTAGGGCATCTGATGAGATGAAAGAAGAAGGATCCAATACGCACCATTGCTGTGAAGCTCGGTCTCTTCCCCCGACTGTGACTGATGGAAGAGTGAAAGCAAATTAGGGTTTGCCAATATTTTTTGCTTATAAAGACGTTGAGTTTTGGGTAGACTGGTTTGTTGTGGGCTTAGGGTTTTGTAGGCCCAAATGGGGTTATTTTTTTGGACTAACCTGCTGTTTGAAATCCTGCACCATATTTTCTACATATACCCTCATCTCACTAAAAAAACTGAAATATCTCATGTGGATTTTAACTTCATTGTTTCAAAAACAACACACGAGGAATTACTTTTTGCACTCATGTTTTCTTTTTAGCAAATTAGAAAGTGGTAAAAGATGTCACCTAAGCATTTTCTATGGGTAGATATGACTAAGGATGTACTTCCTAATGTAGAGAATCCTTCACGTACTTTTAGATTATAATTATTGTTAATGTGAGAAGTTTATAATCAAATCGTATTCTTATTTATTAAATTGACAAATAAAATTATTGGTGAAAGACATATTAATTACTGAAATATTGTTTTACTATTTGACTTAATATATATTTTTTTATTGAGGTTTATAAAATGAAAGTTATTAAAATGAAATAATTTTAATAAATTTATATTTTAGTGTAATTCATTTAAATTTACATTGCATTAATATTTTAATGAGTAATTTGATTTAAATCATATTTTTAAAATTAATGTTGTATTTACTTGTATATTTACAAAGATTATTTTTAAATAATTTTATTTAAAATTTAAAATAGAATAAGATATAAAAATATTTGTCTGTGTCCATGGTATTTACATGTATAAAAATACTGCAATATTTCTTAATAAATACCCAATGGATAATGTGACTGATACCGAAACAATTTTTTTAGACGACAAATAATAGGTGGACATTACATATATCCGATCCATTGTCATTTATAAGTGAGACTCAAAAATTTAAAATGTTAACAATTTTAGATTATTTATATAATCAAATATGTTAGTGTCGTTATTTTATTAACTAAAAATATGAGAGTGATTTAATTAATATAAAATTGTATAATTTAAGAAGATATATGTCTAATTGTATAGATACCATAAATAATATTTTTAAATTTAATAAGGAATAAAATTAAAAATATTAAAAATTATGAATGTAAATAAAAGTTATATAAAATAATTATAGTTCTCATATGTAAAGAAATGATATTATTTCTATTTTTTTTCTTTTCATCCTGGTCGAAAATGCAAATCATTAAAAAATTTAAAGTGTTACATGCTTCTTACTCATTTTATAACTTTTGTTACTATTTTTAATGAGAAATCCATATACGCTCTCGTGTTTTCATTGGAATATCATATGCTTCTGCAGTTTTTAAATGCTATAAAATTCTATAAACCTTTATTTCTTTATTTTTTGTTTTTTCCTACAAATAATTTGACATAGTACTAACACCAAGCTAAGAAACTTTAGCAGATCCAATACGAAGATAGCCATAGTCAAACATTGTGTGATACTATTTACCACTACAAATACTAATATGCTGCAGTAATTTCATTAGAATGTTTATTCATTACCATATCTAGAGGAACATAATCACCATAGCAGCCAGTGAAATTCTTTAATTCTTAGCATATGCTGAGAACATAAAAGGCTTATTAAATGTTTATTTAATATAAGTTACTAAACATGGAGTCAAGCAACCTTAGTATCAGATAATTGAGTTGTTGGAGAAGATCATAGAGATCAATTTTAATAGTAGTCAAAGATAACTGTTAGAAGTACACTTGTAGGGTGAGGTTTGCACCCACTTATAAAGTATGAATTGACCTCTAGTCGAGACGGAGCTTCCAACAGACCCCCTTCATGCCGAAATATATACATCTCGAGCATGGAACTAGACATTTTTAATGAGTGGTCAGATAGATTTGCACCCACTTACATCGAGCATAACAAACAATAAATTATCGCTAGGATAGGCTCTAACCATGACTCTGATACCATGTTAGAAATGGAGATTAAGCCTAACTCAACCCCAAAAAATCGGTTTGTAGGGTGAAATTTACACCCACTTATAAATTATGAATTGGTCTCATCTCTAATCGATGTGAAATTTTTAACATCAAGTAGAAATAAAGTTCTGGTGCTTACTCATATAAGGTTGATTCACTATAAATTTGGGAAATATCCTGTCCAAGTTCAGATTCTGCTGATCTTGAAGTAACCTCTAGCGGATTTGTCTTTAATCTTTTGTACTCCCTTTATAACAAAAGATATACTAATCATTTTGTTATAACAAAATCCAGAGATTATCAAAATTTGCTTTCTTTAATAGATCAAAGTTAACTCTTCTTCTCTTATAAACGATAACTGAAACAAAGGTAAAATTCAAATTATTAAATGCATGTTTCAATATGCAATGATTTTGTATTTAATTCCAATTTCATATTAAAAGTTAAAAGTTAAAGTAACAAGTTACTTCCGCATATTCAAATTTTGGATCATGATGACACTACAAAAAATTCATATTAAATAAGATGATATGTGATATAAAATGGTGTTTATGACAATTATATTTTGCACAAATGACATTCAAATATCACTCTATATATTGTCGTCACAAAATATAAATTTTTCTAAATTTCTATAACTATGTTTCTACCTAGTTTTGTCTCCCTCGCTTAATCTTCTTACACCAGTTTGATCTTCTTACACCAGTTTGATCTTCTTACATTCAGTGGTGATGAACGCTATTTCTAACATTCAGTGCCTGAAATAAAAAATATACATATAAATTATTTAATTTCAATGTTTATAAACTTATGTAGTTTTTTGAGTCTGTCTCTGACCATGTTTTCTGTTATTTGAAACTTATCAATAAATAAATAACAATAATATACAAATGGATTCTTATGTATTATCATTTAAATCTAATTTATTCTTTATATATGACTAAATTATATTTTAATTGAAAATTAAGAATAGCAAAATTAAATTGTATTTTAATGAATATGTAAGATTTTATCTAAAATGAACTGAAAGTTATTTTCAGAATCTTATTTTAATTTATTTAAATTTTAAGACCAACTTCAAACCTCCAGTACTTTCAGCAAACCGTTCCATCATTTTATTTTCACATACTTCTATGGAGTATGCCTTGGGAACAAAAGACCGAAAAATAAAATTATATGTAATGAATAAACATTTTGAAAAAAATAA